ATTACTGGCTGCTGTACTGGCTAGAATCTTTATCTTTGCTGAGTAAGCGGCCGCTGGACATCTCCTGCAGTATGTATAAAAAAAAAGACATCTACTCATCTGACACAAAATATATTCAGATTAAAGTGAATCTTGATGTGCAGTCAACTGCGCCAAAACTCGGGACACGGCTTGTGTTACTGTCGATTTGTGACGGCAGTTACAAAATCGAACGGAAATGCCGAAAACCAGTATTTCCGACACGGATATGTAAAGACAACGTATGGTAAGCTGGATAATTTCTCTGACAAGCTACTTTAATTGCTGTTCTCGCCTTTCGGGTTTTGCATTTTCGGTTTTGCATTCTCAACCTTTTTTGCATGCCTTTCAATAAAAGCTTCCTTCATTTTTTGAAAAGTGAAAGTAAGTCTTTTTAGCTGGTTACATTATTCTGTTTTGAAGCGAAGGGGAAGAAAGGATATGGCGACTGGATTTGGGCGCCAAAGCATGGCAAAGTGGCTGCAATATGCCACAAGAATTATGAAACGAATCAAGCGTATCTGGCTCTCGTGGCGAGGTTCGTGTTCTAAAATCCTGGTAATTAGCTTCAGAAATGAATTTATTCGCCGGAATGGTGTATGAGAAACTTTGAAAATTTCACGATGGTACTGTAGATTTCAGTAGCATGAGATAAAGCATTTGGTTAAACTGAGATTTTTTTTTAACGCATTGGCCTGATACTGCTGAGTTCTTTGGGGAATGAAAGACATCTGCTAATTTTGTAGTAGTCGGAACTCAGTAGTTTTCTTGCAGTCCACGGAAGGGGCGACGAAAGAAAAAATGCCCCAGGATTTTATGTTTGGATTTCATAGTGACCCTACGTGCTTATGCTGCAGTTACTTCGCCAGCAATCTTGGACGAATTTCAGAACAGCTGAACAATTTCGGGTCTGTACTAAATGCAACTGGATGCTAACGAAATATATCGAAAATGCCTGGCTCAGGACATGTCTCGAATAATGTAAGTGCCCTGATTATCTGAAAATCTTAGAATCGTACGTATATTTTTTTTAATGTTATTTAAAGCTTGTACTTTCAAGACCCAACTATCTAGTTATGCGTTTTTTGCAGCAATGCAATGCGAAAAACGCATATTGACGAGAGGTTGTCTGTG